CCCAAAAACAGAAACACTGTAAGAAAATCTCTCTTGATAGACTGGAAGCCTCTTCCTAACATCACCACAATGAACTTGTTTTCCATCTTCAGACAGGATGAGGTAAGGGTTTGCAGTTTTAGGATCCAGAGTTAGATCCACCTCAAACTTCTGGACCCTCTTCAGTTCAAGCTCAAACAGCTCCTTCATCTTCTCCATGAGGTTCTGCTCCAGCTGAACCACAGCTCTCATCACAGTCCCCTCATATGATGGAGGATGGACTCTGACCTCGGTCCAGTTCTTGGTGGGTGGAGCAGCTTTCAGGTTCCTGCAGCTCTGGAGGAGATGGAGGTGGTCTTCAGAGCGTGAAAGCTGCTTCACCTCAGAGCTCCTCTTCATCAGCTCAGAGATCTCCTGTTCCAGATGTTTTATGAAGCCTTCAGCCTGTTTCTTGATAGTTTTCTGTTTGTCTTCGATCTCCTTCATGAATCTTTTCTTGTTCCTCTCAACAGAGTCCATCAGATCAGAGAAGACCTGAAGACCTTCAGCTTTCTCTCTGTCTGCTGCATCTTCACTGATCTTCACCGACTCTCTGAGGTCCTGGATCTTCAGCCGTCTCTCCTGGATCATCTGCTGAACTTCAGCCTCTGTGTTCCTCAGCTCTGCCTTCTTTCCTTCATATTCTTCTCTCAGAAGAACAAACTCGTGTGCCTTGTGGTCCAGAACAGGGCAGAGCGAGCAGACACATGTCTGGTCGGTCTGACAGAACAGCTGCAGAGGTTGATCGTGCTTCAAACACATCCTGTCCTCCAGGTTCTCCACAGGATCCACCAGCTGGTGTCTTTTCAGACGTGAAGATGTCAGATGAGGCTCCAGGTGAGTCTGACAGTAGGAGGCCAGACACACCAGGCAGGACTTCAGGGCCTTCAGTCTGGGTCCAGAGCAGAAGTCACAGGGAACTTCTCCTGGTCTTGCAGCTTGTTGCTCTGAGCTGCTCCTGGCTTTCTGCTGAGCTTCATGTCTGAACTGAGCGACCATCTCTTTGATGAAGGTGTTGACTTCCATCAGAGGTCTCGTCTCTAACAGCTTCTTACAGATGGGACACTGGCAGCTGCTGGTACTGTCCCAGTGTTGGTTGATGCAGGTTTTACAGAAGTTGTGTCCACACGGTGTGCTGACCGGATCAGTGAACAGGTCCAGACAGATTGAGCACAGGAACTGATCCTCAGACCTCAGGTTGCTGCCAGCAGACATGTCTGAACTCTGAGGGTCAAAGAATCAACAACAGGTTCAAAAGTCATCATTGATGAATCCTTCACTTCAACTAAACCCTAAAGTTTCATCGTC